TTTTTTTTTTTTGATAAAGGAAACAAGGGTAAATTGCTACAATTTGATGAACCTGAACTACACTTATAGAGGTAGTTAAGTCTAAGTACCAACAGAGCGGGAAGGAATCTTCACATCAAGTATCAATGCTATCCCCTCTGTGCACAGGGTAGTTAGGGACAGGCAATTTAGACATTGGCTACCTAAAATGAGGGGGGTGATAAAGGCATGAAGTAACTGGCTTACAAGGTTTCAAGAGGGAGTTTAGTTTAAGAGTATGGGGGAAAAGAAAGAGTCCCCATTGAATAGCTGTCATCTTGTCTAGATGGGTCTGGTGAAAAGAGATGGGGACAAGATTTGTATGATTCAATAGTAAATAATTGTTATCATGACTAATTAACGACTGTCACAATTGTAAAGGTAGAAGTTTTGTAACAAAAACAGGGGAGTGGTTAATCTTACAGTCCAGAAACAGAGGACCCTATCCTCTGTTTAGGACCATCAAGGGAGAAGAGCACAAACAAAACAGGAGACCTTATCCAGAGAAGCAGTGGCAGAGATGGGGGCATGGAGAAGGGGAGCGGCTGAGGACTCTAGATTCATGGGAAGAGAGGGACTAAGAGCTAGTGGCCAGGAGGCAGATTTGCAGAATGTGCCCTTTGGAGGTGTAAATTATTATATATGCCTGAGTGTGTGTTGTTTTTTTTTTTTTTTAAAGCTAAAGTGGATAGAGAGAAATACTGTTAACTGATGGTACATGGAGGGGATTATAATCATTGTAATGAAACAAGGTATATGATTTGTTGAAATATCACAATCAGGCAACCACTAAGGGGTGTGCCCAGGAAAGTTCCTGCTGGGGCCAGCTGAAGGAAGTCATCCAAAACCCACTTTTAAACATACTCTGCTTCTGCCTCTGGCAGTTCAGCTGTCAGAGGTGCATGAGATACTCATGAAAAATTGGCATCTGAACACTTAAACCTAGGCACGAGATGGAATCAAACTCTGCCTGGCTAGACTCTTTCATAAGCAAAAGCAAAATGTCTTCCGATTTCATGTTCCATAGCAGCATCCAGATTGAATAAACATCGTGAAAGGATACAACTCTGATGCACATCTTTCCTAACTTTAAACCACATAGTATCCTCTTGTTCTGTTCAGATGAATGCCTCTTATTCTATGTGTAGGTTGTGCATGAGCATAATTAAGTGTTCTGGAATTCCCATTTTTGCCACGTTATCCATAATTTGTTACGATCCACACAGTCAAATGCCTTTGCAGTCAGTAAAACACAAACATGATGATTTCCGCATCATTCAAGATTTTGCTCACAGAATCCTTCAGTATTGCAACAAAAGGCTTGAATATTTTCTCCAGTTCTTTCAGCTTGAGAAATGCTGCATGTTCTTCTTTTGTTTTCCTAAGTCCTGGTCTTTGCACATTTCCTTATAATACTTTACTTTATCTTCTTGAGTTGTTCTTTGAAAATTTCCATTCAGCTCTATAACTTCATCATTTCATCCATATGCTTTAGCTACTCTATGTTTAAGAATAATTTTCAGAGTCTCTTCCTACATCCACTTTGGTCTTTTCTTTCCTGTCTTTTAAATGGCCCTTTGTTTTCTTTATGTATGATGTTTTTGATGTCACCCCACCACACCTCTGGTCTCTGTCATTAGTGTTCAATGTGTTAAATCTGTTCATGAAGTGGTCTCTAAACTCAGGTGGGATATTTTCAAGGTTGTATTTTGACTCTCATGGATTCATTTTAACTTGCAAATGAGCAGTTGATGGTCTGTTGCACATTTGATCCCTGGCCTTATTGTGGCTGATGAAATTGAACTTCTCCATCATTTCTTCACACAGATGTGAAGATTTGATTTCTATGTATTCCATCTGGTGAGGTCCACATGTATAGTCACTATTTATGTTGTTGAAAACAGGTATTTGCAATGAATAATTTGTTGGTCATGCAATCTCCAGTGTCATTTCTATCACCAAAGATACATTTTCCAACTACTGATCCTTCCTCTTTGTTTCCAACTTTTTCATTCAGTCAATACATCTTGATTGCATGTTTGATCAATTTCAGGCTGAAGAAGCTAGTAGACTTTCAGTTTCTTCATTATTGGTTTTGGTGGTTGGTGCATCAATTTTAATAATAGTACTAATTGTTCTTCCTTATGTTGTAGTTGTTGTTGTTAAGTGCTGTCAAGTTGGTTCTGACTCATAGTGACCCTGTATAGAGTTTCCAAGGGTGTAAATCTTTGCAGGAAAGGAGAACTTCATCTTTCTCCTGAGGAGTGAATGTTGGGCTTGAACCATAGACCTTGTAGCTTGAAGCCCAAATGCTTATCCTACAAAGCCAATGCATTGTATTTCAAGATATATTTTGAAGTGATCTTTGTGGTGATGAATGGGATGCCTTTCCTCTTGAATTTGTCACTCTAAGCAAAGTAACCCATATGATTGTCTGATTCAAAATGGTCAATACCTGTCTATTTCAGCTCACTAATTCTTAGGATATCACTCTTCATGTATTCCATGTCATTTTCCATGATTTCTAATTTTTTTAAATTCATACTTCATACATTCCACATTTTGATTATCAAGGGAAAAGATAAAGGGCAGGCTGTTTTGTAGGGACTGGGAAAGTAGGAAAGGGTTGGTGGTGAGCTGAGGATAAGGCCAGGGTTGGATGGGAAGGAAGCTAAACTTGGGTGCCTGCAATTCTGGATCAACCCTTTAGGGCAAATCACAGCTATTTTAAGACAAGGGCTGATTTAGGGCTCAGGTAAGGTTTTCTGCCACTTTTTTCTTTTTCCCGAGCTTCTTAAAATCAGAAGCTAGTTCTCTGGAAATCTGTCAGTCATTAAGCTGTTTTTATTTTAGGTAATGTTCCTTTTAAGTATTTGTTTTGGATGTAGCAAAAATTCTGTTCGAAGAGATACCTGTATCTCAGGGAAAGGTGATGAAAGAATTTTAAAGATGCCCTTAGGACTGGGCCAGAGTTAGTGGTAATCCCATCCCCTTGCTCCACTGCAGTTAACCCTTCCATCCCAAGCTGTTCTGAGGGGCTCCCCACAGGTCTCTTACCTTTGGGGATTCCTTGAAAGGTTCGCTGTAGAGGCTGCGTATCCTTCTGCGGTCAATGACCTTATTATCAGCTGGTGTGGGTTTGTTGGCCTCGCCTTTGAACTGAGTGCTGTAGCTGGTTTCATGAGACATCTTATCATCTGGGGGCTTGTACTCGTTCTTGGCTTTTATTGCTTTCACAGGCTTGATGTCTGGCCATGCTCTGAATTCATTCCTGTGAATCAAAGAAAGCACCAGTGAAATGAGACATCATATACCAGGAAGCAAGACTCCTAAATGTTGTTGTGAAGCGCTGTTGAGTTGGTTCTGACCCATGGCGACCCTGTTTAGGGTTTCCAAGGAGTAGCTGGTGAGCTTGAACTACTGACTTTGCAGCCCAGCGTATTAACCCACAGCACTGCACCAGGAATCCAAGACTCTTGATACAGGACCACAAACAAGGCAAGCCCTCAATGAGCGCTTGCAGAGGTAGTTTCACCCTGTTGTTATAGATCTTTGCAAGTGTTCCTTCTTGCAAAGTTAACTGAGGTGGTAGCAAGAGCAATAGTATTTTGGAGAAAGAGCGCATGCAACTGGTTCTACATTTTGTGACCATGCGCTAGGAATTCTAATATTTGGATCTCATTTTCCCAACCTGGAGAACCCTCAATACATTAGGTCATTGATGAGTCCGATAAACATTGCTAAGTGCAAGGTTAAAGAGTTGTGAAAAGTAAATGAGACAGCATCTTAGGCATTTTCCAGTTACTGTGAATTGATTTCAACTCCTGAAGACTCCATGTGTGTCAGAGTAGAACTATGCTCCATAGGGGTTTCAATGGCTGATATTCTGGGAAGTAGGACATTAAGTCTTTCTTCCGAGTCACTTCTGGATGCACTGACTGGAATCTCCAAACTTTTGGTTAGCAGTCAAACATTAACCATTTACATGACCAGGGACTCCTGGATTATGCATGGTTTTAGGGAAAAAAGCACACATGAAAAAGTCCACACAGAAAAAACACCACTGTAATAAATGTATACAAGAAACAGGCACACAGGGACAACTGCTAATCCTAACCCTAACCAACTGTTGTTGTGTGCCCTCGAGTTCATTCTGACTCACAGGGACCATGTATAGGGTTTCTGAGGCAGCAGAAAGTCTTATCTTTCTCCTGTGAACCCTTCGGTTAACAGCCCCAAATGTAACCCACTAGGCTTGTTAGGCTCCCAACCCTACCAAGCATATGGTTGGTCTTTTTCTGTGTGAACTTTTTGTGTGAGCTTTTGTTCATGTGCACTTTTTTCTGGTTACTGAGAGGAGAGACCTCTGTTGTCTCTTATGAGACCTTCCTCCAAGCTTGAAACTTCCTTTCCCCATGTAGCCTGGACCTCCACCCAGATTTCTTACCAACAACTCACAGACTCAAATGTACTTACAATGAAATGATCTTTCTTGCCAAATTGTCTTCTTCTCTTGGCTTCCCTCATTGGATGCTTGCAACTACTTCCCTAGGGATTTACAGCCTCAGAACCCAGTCACTGTGAGCCATTGGTTAATTTCACCCATTCATTTACTTACAAACTGAATGTTTATAATCTGTGTGGCCAGATGCTGAACTCTATCTATGGACCTAAATTGACTAAGGTCAGGCCCTAAGCTCAAAATGAAGGAGGCAGAGAGATTCGTGTATACACCGGGACAACATGGTAGGAGCTGTGATGGAGGAGGAAGTGGGGAGCATAGGAGAGGAACTCCTATGAATCTAGGAAGGGTTTCTGGAGTAGACAGAGAGACTGATTGGGAGTTGGCCAGGATGACAGCAGGCCCCTGGCAGAGTGAATATTACCTACAGGGGCTCATGAGAGGCCCAGACCCTCAGAGGACTTGGAGGCAGTTTGGTGAGGCTGGGTCAACTTTGGTGGGAAGGGCACAAGGCAGATTGTGAGGTATGGCTAGGAGATGATCCGGGGCTGCCAACTGATTTCAAGTCAAGGATGAGTGTATTCAGGTTAGTTTCTAGAAGAGAATTTTGGTGGCAGTGTGACTGGGTCGCAAAGGCAGGAGACCACTCAGGACACTGTGCAGTGTGCCAGGGAGGCCAGTGGAAGCTTGAACCAGGATAGTACTGGTGGGGACAGAGAAAGCACTAGATGAAAAGGATGAAGCCAATGGGCAGGATTTGAAAATGGATGAGACTCCAGGATTTGGGCTTGTGGTTGGCAGTGCGCCCCACTGAGAAGGAGGTTTTCAGAAGAAGGATTGAGACTCCTGCTTCCATTGATGGCATCGCACCCACCCTAATGTCAAGACTGCTTTTGACCTTTTCCTCTCCCCTATCTGGTGTGGCTCTGTGGGTTAATGCACCAGACTGAAAAGCCGTTGGAACTGCAAGCTCGGCGGTTCAAGCTCACCAGCTGCTCCTCGGAAACCCTATACAGGGTCGCTATAGGTCAGGATTGACTTGACGGCACTTAACAACAACCTTCCTTTACCTACCTTAGGTTCCCAGAGGAGGTACCAGTCAGGTACCATGACTTTCTGAAGCATTTTGGCTCTTCAGACAAGCCTGAGGTTGGCACAGGTTACATTTGGAGTTCTGGCCACCATTCCCTGCCTGAGACTTCGGGCCTTCCTTCTTTCAGACCTAAAACCCTGTTCATAAGATAGGCTCCAACCCATAACAACCTGGCTCTAAATGGATGATAGTAAAACCTGCCTTTTCCTGCCCTGCCTACTTCCAGAATTAGGACTGAGATGAGTATGTACTGTTCCTAACACTGTTTCTGGGTCATCTCTCCAGGGCAGCTTCTGGAGCCGTCTGCATCTCAGCAGCAGGCTCTGTGGCCTGGCAAGGGTCCACTTGCAAATATATCCACAGAGGCTGTCACTGTAGGAAAAGCTTAGTAACCCCTGATCTTGAATAACTTTGGCAAATCATCTTCATGAGACTATTAATGAATCCTATAATAAGCTCACTGTAATTATGTCAGCTGTTAGGTATAAACCCAAATCCCATTAATTTAGAACTGTTTTTGAACTCTCCATAAAACCTCTCCAGCAATTCATCATATGTCATAAAAATAAAATTAGCTACTACCATTCATTAAGGAGCCCTGGTAAGGTAGTGGGTTACACATTGGGCTGCTAGCCGCAAGATGAGCAGTTTGAATCTACCAGCTGCTCCTAGGGAAAAAGATGAGGCTCTCTGCTCCCATAAAGATTTATAGCCTCAGAAACCCTATACAGATTGCTGTGAGTCAGAACTGACTCAACACACCACCACCACCACCACCATTCATTGGTTGCCTTACATAAGTTAGAGTAATGTATCTATATGTGCATTGGGAGAAAGATGAAGCTTTCTGCTCCCACAAAGATTTAAAGCCTCAGAAACCCATACAGGCTCGCCATGAGTCAGAACAGACCTGACAGCACTTAGCAACACGAACTTCTATATGAATTTATTCCCTATACTCTTTATAACAACTCTGAGAGGGAGGAGGCTTATTCCTCTTTTACAAAGGAGGTAATCAAGGTTCAGAAAGGTTAAGTGGTTAGCAGAAGGCTACACAGCTGGCAAACAGGAGAGCTGGGATCTGAATCCAGTCCATTTTCTATCCACTGCATTCTGATAACATGCTGGAGGGACAGTGTGCTCGGCCTGAGCTCACTGGCTCCAGCCTGCTGTTAGTTGTGTGATAGAAGGTCTATACGGCACAGCCTGGACGTAATGACATCTGAGTTCCTCCCAACCCCAGATACTCAACCCAGAACCCAGGAGGAACCATCTTCTGTAGTTGGTCATGCCCAGAGTATCTTGCTAGGGGTTCATGGTCCTCTGTCACATGATCTCTCCCTCATGTGCAACCAGATTTCTGCAGGATCATTCATTCATTTGTTCATTCAACATTTACCAAACACCAGTTAAGGACATGGCACCATGAACCCACAAGGATGTACAAGCCGCATTTGAGGTGTCTGTAATCTAGTGGTCAGGACCTGTCTATGTGTGTATGACCCATGAGAAAAGGCAGAACGAAACAAATGGGAAAGAGTTCAGAAAAAAAGGAAAAGAAGGCTTCATTCTGATGATGATGATGATGTGTGTGTGTGTAAGGAGCATTGAAGGACACAGATAGAGGGAGAAATGGATGAAGGGAATTCAGGCTGAGAAAACAGCCTGTCTTTTACTCTAGATGGAGTAGTTAGTCCCTCTTTAACAGAGATTGGTGTTTTGTTTATCTG